AAGAGAGAAAATATATAAAGATCGGACCAAGCAACTATCAAAAAACATTAACTTTTGGTAATTTGTGTGTAACCACTATGGACACAGATTACAATGTTAGTCGATCAGAATGACTTCGAGGAATGCCAGAAATCGATTTAAAATTTAAGTGTATACGTGGCGAACGAGTGTACACGGAACAAAACAAAGGCGAGCCATTAAGGTTTTATAATGGCGTACCGTTTAAAAAATCTTACGGATTTAATAAATTAAACACTAATTTCCTTTTGAAGCCTTCTTCTTCTGATGCTTAGCTTTTCTTCAAAGAGTGTTCCATGGTCTTTTACTTCAAATTCTTTTGGGTGGATCAGGAATTTCTAAGGAATGGCACGGCATATTTAGAAAGTTTTGGATTACTTACTTTTTGTCTTTTACTAGGACTTTTTGGTGTACATTATCCTTGCAAATAACTAGGGGTATTTGCAAGGATAATGTATAATGATATTTCCGATCTAAAACCGCCGCATATGTTTTTACCATTCTCTTTCTATTCTTCGTCCATTGAGTTTTTTTTTTTGGAGAAACATGACGGAGGAGAAGGACATCGAATGGATGTATCAAGGAGCGAAAGCGCTTGTAAATCGCGAGGATTACCTGCTTGGAAAGAAGGTAGTTGTTCAAGTGCCTCTTATGTTATAGTCAATACCTAAATATAAGCTTAAATTTTGTTGCTACAGATTGACAAGAACTTTGAGAAATACTCCGATGCTGTCAATGAACAGAAGCCAGAGGCTTTGGATGCGCTTCTGCATACAAGGTGTTTTCTTACAAGATTAAGTTATCTGCTTTATGGCGTCGTTAAGATCTTTTATTCTAGAACAGTAGTCAAACCTCAGCCTTCTGCTGTGAAAACTAGCGCTTTGGAGACCTACGTTGTTGCTACGGAAGACCCCCTTGTTGCCGTCAAAGTCAGTTTTCGAGCTTTCTTTCCCAAACGTATCTTTATTATATGTTTTTCAGGTGAAAGAGGAAACTCGCCGGCGAGAGGTTTTAGAGAACCCCCTCATGAAACTGAAATTTCAAAAAATGCTAAAAGAAATGATGGCGGAAAAGGAGAGCAAAGGGGAGAAAAAGAAGAAGAAGAAAAAGAAAAAGAAGGATTCCGGCCGTGATGATAAACCGAAAAAGATCAAGGTAATTGTAGTTGTTTGACAGTGTTATTTGATAGCGTAATTTGCAGCTTTGATTACATTTTTAGAAAAA